CAGAAACGCCACTAATCCATCTCTTTTCGTAAGGTTCGAAAAAAAAATCCCAGCCTGACTGAGGAAATTTGCCCAGTTGTACAGTAGTTCTGATCGTTCACTTCCCATCAACTGGCCAATTTTTCATACGAAAACCCGATCTCGTTTGATTTTCGAATGTTTATAGGCTATGGTTGAGTTACCTATAGTTAAGCTGTGAAGAAAGAATCCCTCTTAGTTCCCTTCTATATACACTGGCCATGTCTATAATACTTGTCATTTTGAGTTTATCGATTTTAGTCAAAAAGCTCACCTGTAGGCTACCTGCCTTTGAAAATGTCCCTACTCTCTGTGTGCCAGTTGTTCTAATACATGCAATTTATGTTGTTGCTAAAATATGGTCTTCATAATTGGGGTTATGCGAAAACCTAGCTGTCTAAGTCAGATTTTTCCTAACTAAATAGTCCATATTCTTTCTTGTTTACTATCTCAGCAGCTATTGTGTGTGTGTGTGTGTGTGTGTGTGTGTGTGTGTGTGTGTTCATGTTGGATTCTTCATGTCTAATTGCATGGCACATAAAGAATTCAATACTATGCAGTTTGCTTTAATTCATTATAATTAACAATCAGTTTGTGCAAAATGTTGGTCCATTTAGGTTTCGCCCTACTGCTTCTTTTTATTAAAATATGTGAATGTTGATGAAACATCAGGATCATAAAATAGCAGCAATACCTTTTTGTATTATGGATTTTGCTAGCCACCGAGTGTTTTATGTGTTTACGGTGTGGCACATTAAATTGTTGATGCAAAGAAACCATGATTTCTGAATCAGTAGCTCAGGTATATGTTTCTGTTTTCATATTTAGCACATGGCACACGTGCATAGAGCAACGTATTTGTCTACGCAGGCATTCAATGCAGTCGCACATTGATAAGCACAAACCCTCTTTTTTATGGCATTTAGTTTATACAATTACCATAAATAAGTGCAGGTGCATTTTTGGTCTTTCATTGAACCATTTTTCATCATAATTATATGTGGGATTTTTACCCCATATTTTAAATAAGGTAATTAAAATAGGATTTGGTAACCATGTACATGGCTGCAAAGTGCATTTAAAAGTCACATAAAGTCTAACATTCTTAAACATTTCATATAATCTATTCTCTTTTTTTTTTTTAAATGTTTTTTATTTTACATATTAAGAGAGCAGCATGCTGTAATTAATATTATCAATATATGTTAATGTTTTTAAAAGCCTTTTTTGTATAATTGTGATTTATATATGTACATAAGGGCAGCCACATTGTCTCATTACATGCAGGCTCTGTGCACCTCTGAAGGCAGCCATGCTTTACTGCTCCTTCTCACAATGCAAGTGAATGGGGTTACTAAAGAAGTAGGTTGTGCACAAGTGCACATTTATATATAAGGTGAACTGCATTTACTTTGAATACCAAATCAATTGCAAGTGAAATGAAAAAAAAAATTAAAAAGAAAAAACAGGGTATGAGCTAGCACAATTGATTAATTGACTTGAATACAGCTTTACCTTATTTATGAACATTAATTTTGCAAAGTAAACATTCACTTTGGTACGTAACTGGCTTATATTTCTATATTGAATTAATTTATAGATGTGGACAAATGTTGGTACCCTTCCATGGAAAAAACCCACAATTTTATCAGCCATAACTGACAAAAGTAATTGACATGCATCATTGTTTATTCCTTATAATCCCATACCAAAAAAAGAATCAGACTTTGCTTTTGATTTTGTATGCAACAGGATATTTTTAGATGATAAAACCCCTTAAAATGGTATGGAGAAAAATGACCCCGTTCCCTAATATTTTTTTTCCCACAACCTTTAGAGGCAATCGCTGCAAACAAGCTATTTCTGTAGCTGTCAATTAGATTTCTGTGCCTGCCAATGGGTAGTTAGCCCACTCTTCTTAAGCAAATTGCTCCAGCTGTCTCATGTTTTAGGGGTGTCTTCTCCAGCCGCATGTTTCTGCTTTTTCCATAGATGTTCATTAGGACTTAGATCAGGGCCCATACAAGGCCACTTCAGAAAAGTCCAATGTTTCCTTCTTGGGTGCTTTTAGCTGTTTTGGAACATTATCATGTTGAAGGACCCATGACCTTTAATTGAGACAGAGCTTTCTGACACTGCGTAGTACGTTTAACTCTAGAATTCCTTGATAGTCCTAAAATGTAATGGTGCCCTGCACAGATTCAAGCTGCCCTGTGCCTAATGCAGCTGAGCAGCCCAAAATATAACCAAGCCTCTTCCATGTACCAGTAGGTATGATCTTCTTCCTTTTTTTTTTTTTTTAAACATATTTTTTATTGCCAGTGAATATAGAGCTGATTTGACATGCCGAAAAGCTCCAATTTTGTTTCATCTGGCCAATATGCATTTTTGCAAAGTCCATTATGGCTTTTTTATGTTTTTCTTTTAACAGTGGCATCCTACTTCCTTTGAGCCTACTGTCAAAAAGTGACAAATGGTGTGTTCAGACACTAATGTACCGTGACCTTGGAGTTCAGCTTGTATCTCTTTGGAAGTTTTTCCTTGCGTCTTGGTCTACCATTCGCATTTCCCTTCTGTTCAATCTGGGGTCAATTTTCTTCTTGGGATCACATACAGGGAGGTTACACTTCCATGGATCCTAAACTTCTTAACGTTGGCAAATGTAGTCACAGGAACATCAAGCTGCTTGGAGATGGCCTTATAGCCTTTTAGCTTTTACATGCTGCTCTATAATTTTCTTCCTGATCTCCTCAGACTACGCTTTACTTATAATATAATATATGTAATTGTGTGCACCACTCTGAACATGGACCAGAGAAAGCAGTGTCTACTTTTACAGGAAAACATTTTAAATATCCCTATTCAATGTTATATTTTCTTGGGAAAACCAACTAATCTGTCCAGGCCAGAAGTTTTTTTGTAGATTAAGCAATAAATTATCTATTTTCCCACTTTCTTTGCTTTACTCTCTAAAATACCAAATGCATGCAAGTACACTAATACCTTGGTTTACAGGCAACTTGGTTTGAGAGTGTTTTGCGAGACAAGCAAACATTTCTGAAAAATCTTGCCTTGATATACAAGCAATGTCTTGCAATAAGAGCAACATTTTGTAGAAAAGCACCACCGAATAAGGCTTGTAGCAGTGCGAGCGATGAGTCTGTTTAACAACAATGCAATGTCACATTGGGTAGATTCCTTGTTAAGGTTTCGCGAAATGAAAAAGATTCCATTGAGTCAAGAGATAGCAGTGATTCCATTAGTGATAGTGAAAGTCGTCCTACACAATAATCCTCCTCTCTCTCGTCCCCCTCACACCAGCCACGAAGGTACCGGTAATTGGTTTATTTTTCTTTATATTTTGTACAGTATTATATTACAGTACAGTATTGTAATCATTTTTATATGAATATTTTTGGGTTGTGGAACGAGTCATCTGAGTTTCCATTATTTCCTATAGGGAAATTTGCTTTGATACAAGCGCTTTGGATTACAAGCATGCTTCTGGAAGGAATTATGCTCGTAAACCAAGGTATTACTGTATACATAAGACAATTCCTTTTTAAAGTCATCACTTTCCAGGAGGAATAAAGCATTGTTTCAATAAGCTACATATTATACACTGAGTGGCCAGATTATTATGACCACCTGACGTTTGTAGGCAAATTAGGTATAATTTCACGTTGAAGTTGCTAGAGGGCAAGGACAGATAGGCATACATATGTGATATAAATATATAGCCCTAACGCCTCACTTAGTAAGGAGAACATATAAAAAAAAAAGATGAAAAACATAAAGAAAACACTTGTTCTCCAGTTTTTTTGTTTTTTTTTAATTGGCACAGCTAAAAACAAATGCATTAAAATAAATATATTTGTCCTTTATTTGGAAACGCCTCATCTCTAGGATTTCATTTTAACATTTGATTTTGTTTCTCTAAAAACTGATAATGGTTAGGTTAGGTGGCCTACAATGTCACTGTCACACTTGTGGACAGCGACATACTTTGAGCAATGCCGTCATGAGGGGTTACATTTTTTTTAAATTAACCCCTTAGGGTGACAACCATATTTTCATTATAAGTGGTTAATTGTTCTTTATAATATATAAATATATATTTGTATATATTTTTAATTAACTTTTTTTTTCTTTTTACTTTTTTTTCCCCTATTATATTAAGCAGTCACTATGACTTCTTGCTAATTTTGTCATTTTTTAAAAAAATTGGGGTTATTAGGCTGCTCCAAACTTGGGAACAGCCAGTAATAACCTTAGTGACATTGATCCTGACAGCATGACAGGATTAGATCTCACTAGGCTTTTGATGGGTCCTCAAACGATCAGAAGTTTCAGCAAAAGAAATGCATTGTTTCTTATTGCTGAAATGAATCGTTTCGTGAAGAATGTATCTTTACAAAGCCTGTAAACATTGGGACTTGCAGATGTCCACAGAGCTGTCAAAAGTGAAATAGCTAGGCGCAGATGTCCACAGAGCTGTCAAAAGTGAAATAGCAAGGCGATGAGTCATGTCTTGCTTCTGTTTTTTCAACGGTCAAATGCGGATCACCAGTATTTGTAACAGCTTCTTTCTTTCATTGATGAAAGAAGCTTTTACAAAAGCTTAACAATTTTAATTAATGGATTCCTCCATTACTGAGGCATTTATTAATGAATGGTAACCGCTGATTCTCATTGGTTACCAGCATTTTGAAACCTTGAATAACTGCTCACGCACAGTGTAAGTAAGCAGTCATTTGGGCACTTCACGTTGGAGATGCACAGTGTACGTCTCCAGTCGTGAAGGGGTGAAAACGATGCTCTCTATAGCTAATAGTGTTTAAAAAATGTACTAGAGAAGACGTAATTGCAGTGGGCCACTAAAAGCTCCCGCAGGTGGCTTATCCACAAATCTGTACATTTAACAAAATAAACAGAATGTGAACACGTGAAAAAACACTCAAAACACATTTTATATTAAACCGTTAAATAAAAATGTGTTTAATGAAAATACACTATTGTTCACTAACTTCAGTAAAGTTACTTTATCTCAACGTCCGTTCAAATTCAACCCTGCTATAGAAGTTTACAAGATAGAATTGGCATTTCACTTGTCTCCTGGAATATCTCTAATTTTTACTGGAAGACATGATTATTCATTATAATACACAACAAACATCAAAAACAACTTGGGGCTTTTGAGTTGCCAATAACTGAATGACAATATGTATCTAAAATTCCATTTTTTAAATTGATATTAATATACATTAAATATTTGTAAAAACAAAAATTGCCACGTGTCCAGCATTCATTATGATATATTCAAAAAAATAATTAACATTGGTGCCCTGGCAGTGAGAAAGAAGCAATGGACAGATGCTGTATATTTTTAGGTGCGTTCCCTAATAGAATGAGGCTAGGAACATACGACTACTACGCTACTAAAATTGCTAGTAATTAATCACTATTTAGTAGCAATCACTACACATGTGAAACTCATGGCTCCCTATGGACTCTGGTACACATGCAGCATGTAGTCGCTATTAATTGCACATATTAGGAGCATAGTGCAATCATTAGTGATTTATTCATTACTACATTCTTTTTGTGTGCCTCACTCCTATAGGGAGCCATTTCTACATGTATGTAGTTATCGCTATTGCTGGCAATTTTAGTAGCACAATTGCATTACTAAAAATCACCCATGCAACTAAACTTCGTTTAATTGCAACAGTGCAACTTTAAACACATTATGATGCCTGCATGTACTTTATATCCAAATTAAAATATAGGAAGTGTCACAAAAATGAAAATATTCTAACTTCTTATATACAATATACCAATCTTTTCAACTAAGCACCAACTGTTTATTCTTGCAGAGCTAGAAGGAACAAAGTATTCCATGGGAGTAGTTGTGCTTTCCTGTTTTGTAATTGTTTTGTTTCCATGCATAAGTCTGATCATATAAAACAGTCACACTTTTTTTTTTTTTTTTTGTTACACTTGTTTTGTTTGTGGGAAGTTGAGTGTTTTTCTTATCACAAAATCTTGTACTGATTTATGCAAGTAGTCCCCATAAACTTAGTTAATTTTTAGCATGTAAATTGGTAGAGTCAGGATCCTCATTTCTGATTATGTCATTTTACATTTCCATGTGCTACTTTGAGCACCAGAAAAAAAAAAAGTTATCACTCTATGATAAACCAGCATGATAAGTGAAAAATGTTTACATGCTAATTATAATATATTATTTCTTCTCTCCTACAAGAGTCACTTTGTTAATGTGGATGAATGCAGGCGTACTCTTTATGAGAATTGCAAAGACCTCTTGAGGAAGGCAAAACAAGCTTGTCAGCTTGGACCGAAGGATGAGGTCCCACAAGAATATCAAACTGTAAGTACTTCTGCTCATCAAATACTTAAAGCTTATATCAAATTAATTGAGCTTGGACATGAAATTATTACGACACAGACAGAAGTTGTAAGTCTAGTAAGTGTCTTAGAAACATGCAGAAACCACTTCAAAATGTATTACAAGATTTATAAGAATACCACCTATAGCTGATGTAGATAGAAATCATATGTACAGTGCACACTGTGCACTGTGTGCATACATATTGACTTGTTTCAATATCTGAAGCAAGAGCTGTCTTTATTTGACGGCAAATGTTCATTTTCAGAACTTCTTTAGAAAAAGCTATTTTAAAGATTAAATCTGGTTACTGTTATGGTATAGCAGTGAACTTGTATTTGACTCTTATAAATAAAGCCCAGTGTATATAATGTATGATAACTGAGGAAAATTTGCCTGCTGCAAACAATAGTTTACCTTCATTTCTCAGACTGGATAAAAAAATTACATTGAGGATTTCCTTAAAGTAGCACTAAACTCAGGCATCAAATCCTAAAAATGCATTCAGGTACCCTAAATATTAACAAAAATGTATCTTTGTGTATCACTCAGCTGTAGATCCTCAAATCATCTCAGATGTGGTGCTGACACTGTCCTTCCTTCTGGAGGGTGGCTGCTTTTGTTCCCCATGGCCCCTGTGTGAGTTGTAAAGTAGTAACCGCTCCAAGCTCACTCCCGTGATTGACTACAAGCTCAATGCAAATTAGCTGCCTAAACGTGAGATTGTAGTCCATCACAGGAGTGAGCTTGGAGTGGTGACTACTTTATAGAGATGCACCGAAATGGAAATTTTAAAACCGAAACGAAACCGAAATAAAAAAAGTCAGGTCGAAACCGATACCGAAAATGTTTTTTATTTTTTAAATTTTTTAAAATATATTTTTTATAAACTTTTTTTTTTTTTTATAACATACCATATCCTCAATTAGGTACACACACTCAGCGATCGCTGAGTGTGTGTACCTAGCTTTTCTCTCTGACACGCTGTCACAGGAGGCTGATCGAGCGGTTTAGAGAGGAGAGCTCAGCCTCCTGTGACAGCGCTGTCTCCGCCCCCACACCGCTCTGCCGGACTGTGATAGGCGGCCGAGCGGTGTGGGAGGAGAGACGCCGGCCGCTCACAGCGCTCTCGTCCTGCAGCGCTCGGCCGGCTGTCACTTGCCAAATTATGCCAAAAGTGCCATTTTCGGCCGATATATCGGTGCATCCCTACTACTTTACAACACTCACAGGGACCATGGGCAACAAAAGTAGCCACCCTCCAGAAGGAAGGACAGTGTCACCATGAATTCAGAGATGATTTGAGGATCTGCAGCTGAGTGATGCACAAATAAGATACATTTTTATTAATATTTAAGGTACTTGAACTAAGATTTAACATTTGAGTTGAGTGTCACTTTAACTTTAACTGTATTACCCTTATTTCTGTATTCTTGCTTTAACATGCTTCTTTTGCAGGCACCAGCTGCTTAGGTATAAATGCTGCCCTTTAGGTAAAATAGAAGGCAGCAAAATGTTTGTTTTTACAGGAGAGAATCATGGGGGCTGCCATTATGGACTTTCTTCTAAAAATGTTGGTTGCCTGAATGTCATTCTGACCCTGTGGCTTCCATGCACTCTGTCACCTAGAACAGGCATGCAAACAAGGAGTTCTGACTTGATCACCATATTTGTTTCTAGTCACTAGCTCAAAGTATTGAAACCATTGGATAAGCATAGCCTCAAGGTAAAAAGCATTTGCGGAGAGAAGTCTGCATCAGCCGCTTGAACTTTTGAGCTATTTCTTCAAACTATAAAACTGTTCATTGGAGGGGACGTGATTTTAAAGTTACTGCATTTGGCCATATTTTATGATTCATTTTTTCTCTCCAAGATTTGCAAAAAAAATTGTCAGCTTTACTGTATATTAGGGATATTCAGATATCAAGTACCTGGTACATGTACTGATACTTTTCCAGCTCCAAGACCAGTCTAGAGACAAACTCAAAAGTTAGGAGGCAGCTGTCATTTGTAAGGAGAGGATTGGCTATGGGGCTACTCTGATTTGTGCATCCCTGAGAGAGAGAGATCTCCCTCCCCCCCCCCTCTCTCTCTTCCTCTCTCCAATAGCAGGCTGGCTATTGTTCCCACCCACTGAGCAGAGGAGCGGACCTGAGTCAGGGCCCCTCCTATTTTCAGTGGGCAGGGCTTCAATAGCCAGCCTGCTATTGCAATTGCTCCCGGCTGCTTCCATTCACCTGTCCGCTGCCTAAGCTAGCCGGCAGGTAATTGGGGCTGCGGGGGGAAGCAGGGTGCCACAGGGATGGTTACTCTCAAGCAGCCAGAAACTACAGTTATCCAGCACCTACTGATCCCTGTGGGTGTGTTGGGAGGGTGGGGCTGGGAGCTGGATGGTAAGTGGATGGGAGGCATAGATGAGGGTTATGGAGAACAGGTAAGATTTTGGGGGTGGGGGGAGAAGGAGTGAACCAAGAAAAAGGACTATTGAAATAAAGGGGCATGCAGGTAGTTAGTTCTGTATCACTTCAAATGGTTAAAGACTGGGAGTTGAAGGTGAACAGTAGACATTTTTGCTGGCCATCTTTTTAAAATGCTAGTTGCTGGTCTCTGTTTGGCTTTAATACGATTGAGTCACAAACCTGGAACAAGCATGTTGTAAATAAATGTCAGGATTCCTTATTTCTGAACTTGTTTCAGGTCAGACTCAAGTAGCAATAAAAGCCAAGAATCAGCATGAAAGCAAGAGAACAAACATTCTCAACAGAGAGGTCAGCAATGGCAGCGCTCATAAGTTTATCATGGCAGTCACGTTAACACCCAAATCAGGTTGGTTTTTTTTCCTCTGACAAAGTCTCTTCAAGGACATCTTTTACTCAAAACTGCTAGTCAGTATTGAAAACCATGGGGCACCATATGGACGGGAAAGAAGGTCATCTATAAAAAATGTTTCTGGAATAAATTTTTTTAGCTTTACTTGTTTTTTCACCCTTCTTTCAAACATGATTCACAATATGTTTATCATAAAACAAAGGCTAATAAGAAAACACTTGATACTGTTCACGTTATTATCAGTCTGCTATTATAATACCAACTATCTAAAACTGTACAGTGTATCACATAACCACTTTATTTTAGACCATCGGAACTTGAGATAACAAGATCGAGCCAGTAACTCTCATCTTTACATTTTGGCACTTTAAAGATATGCATAAAATGGACCTACCCACAAAAATTTGATTTCAGCCATGTTTACTGTTAACTTCTTTCAGTGAAAGCCAAATGTTAAGTCAATGTAGATAGTTAGGCAGCTGAAGTGATATAATGAAACGCAAACCTTTTTTACCCTCCTAAACCCACCAAGCCGATTCATTGTTAAGGGACTAATAGGGAGGTCGGGGGGTGGGCCAAGCTAAACATTTATGGTAAAAAGTTTAGATTCCGTCAAATGATTATATATTTAGATCTCCTTCCCGTTTTTTTGCCATGTGATTTTCAGAGAAGCTAACCTTTTGTGTATGCATTTGCTCATCATATTTTCGGTTCTTATTCTGAGTGCCATAGATTTGTGATACAATAACTTTTAACTCTGCCAAGACAGAAACTTTTAAAACATTTTACAGAATTCTTCACCCAACCTACACAAAAGTTAAAAAGCTTTATTCAGACTATGGAACAGGAAACGTTTGTTCCTTTTAGTTATTTCTTGAACCTCTACAGTATTTTTATTTGATATCATTGAGCCAAGATTCCAATCAGCATTCTTAACTTTTTTTTCCGTGGTGGTATAGACTCACAAATATGTTGAATATTCTTGCTGTAAGTAAGAATGAGATTCGTTTCTGGAGGGATGATGTTGAGCTGGGACAATTATAACTGTAAAATAGTACAAATTATTGCACTGAACTTGAATAGTTATACACGGATGTGCTCATGCAGATCTTATTGTGTTTTTGTCAGTTGAATCCAATATGAACGTGGTTCGTATTGTTGGTTTTTAGGCCCACCTCACCATTTAATGTATTTTTTAAGTTTCTTGTATGACCCCCAAACCCTAATTTCTATCGTGTTTCCCCAAAAATAAGTCTTATATTTTTTTGGCTCAAAACACACTAGGTCTTATTTTTTTTTTTAATGTACAACAATCCACACTTATTCATGTACAATAATATGGTGATATGGGGTGCCGTACCTTTCCAAGAGCAATTTGCTAACCAATCGCTGGCCAGAATGAGCGAAGCACGCTTTCACTATCCATTCCTCACAGGCGGAGTGCATTTGGTATTCCTCCGCCTGTGACAGGAGCCGGCGCTATAGAGGAGGCATCGGCTTATGCGGCTCTGCTCCCTCCGGTGCCGCCTTGCTTCCTCTAGCGCTGGCTTCGTTGGCACCACTGATTTCTCTCCCGCAGCTCTTCAAGTTCCCCCTTATGCCACCACCGGCCCTGGGAACAGTCACAACTAGGCCTTATTTTCGGGGTAGGTATTATATTTTAGCAATTCCCCAAAATAGTACTAGGTCTTATTTTCGGGGTAGATCTTATTTTCGGGGAAATGGGGTATATGCTATGGTTTCCATACAGTGCACGGATGATGGCTAACTAGCCTGAAACAGGAATGATTTGCGTGGGACTGACCACGATCTTGAATGAGAAATGATTCCCTTATTTATACTTTTCATTTGTGATGACAAGTGAATACCTACTGTTTCAAGAGATCTTTACTATGCTTTGCAGTAGTTGGGTGTAAGGCTTTTTATAATCCTATTAAAACATGCCTGTCATGGGAGACGTATGGGGTATATAGTGGTGGTCATTGCTTACCTCTTCTGAAAGTGTTTGTTGTCTGACTCTTTTATTTTGCCTCATAAACTTCTGTGTCGCTGATTTATAATAAGTATTTCAGTTGTCCTTTCCTTTCTCCTGCAGGCATTCAAAACAGAAAATGGTCTTTTGGCTAATTTTTTACATGACCTTTCATTCATTCACCATTTTGGTGGCTGTAAGGTATTTAAGGAAGCCACATATATCCTAGTTCACTACATTACAGTATAGTTTTTAATATTACTGCCTTTCCTTTTTCTTTCCCTTTCCCTTCCCATCTTCTCTTGTATCTGTAGTATTTGTAGAACACACAATTAAAGTACAGATATCATGATTGAACATAAAAGATGACTTGTACAACAGGACTGAAGTAAGGGTGACCATAAATGAGATATCTAAATAAAATAATATCTGCCAAATCTTGAGAGCGTTTTGAGATCCACCATAATCCTTTCCACATGATGTAAACTGCATAAACGTGGCATCTCATAAAGAGTGCCTCTAAGGAGGCCATAAAACATTCTATTTAATGCAAGTCATGTTTGAAATCTGGACCATCTCCTGTTGCCATCAAGCCATTTGTGGCCACCCTAGATACTTTGCTTCAATATTCTCTGTTGTTGCATTTAATGCTTCATAAAAATGTAACTGCTGGAGTGGAATCTGATAATTGTAGTTTGAAGATCTGTTCTAAGGCAATCAAAAGGTCAGAACAGTGTCATCAGAGTGTGTGAGGTCGAGCAGTTCACAGGCAGTATCTGTCCTTGATGCTCCAGCGAAAGTGTCAGGAATATATACATTTGAAATGATACACTTTTTTTCATAAGCCCATTTCTGGTGGGTTCTCTTTAAATAAAAAGTAATACACCATGCACACCAACCTGCAGTTCACAAGAAATTGATTACCAAAACATATACGATCTCGCAACAGCCTTTAGGCGTTACCATTTTTTTTTGTTGATGAAATTCTTGGGTGGTATGCACAAACCACATCTGGCTTAACAAGAAGTATATGCTTTAGGTTTATTACTAGAGCAGACCTTTTATCTTCATTGTCCCTTTTTAGAATATTTCATAAATATTTTATTTAGTTTAAATATTCATGAAAATCATTCTCTCCTTGTTTTCATGAAGCCCACCATTGGGAATTTAAAAAATAGTTGCATTCAGTCCTTACACAAATGTATATTACTGGGGCCAAAAATGTCGGGCATAAAATGACACCAAACTGTAAACCCAAGACAAGGCGAGCACATTTTATATACACACATTGCATCTTTGAACAGCGAACAGCAGTATTAGCTTGGTATATAAAAGGCTTGTTTTATCTGGTCTCTTGACAGAAGATTCAAACTGCAACCATAACATAATTTTTAGCTTTGGGGAAAATGCATTGTGTGAATAAGCGCTAAGCATGCAGTTTTCATTGTTTGTGATAGTACTATAGATGGAAACAATACTGTATCATTTTTTTTAATGTACATAGATCTGCAATGTCTTTTTTTCATGTTGTTTTTGGCTGGTTATCATATTAAGCGGGCTATAGACACATTAGGAGGATCTAATTGTTGAAGCGAAAGTAAATTCTACTTAACAACATCAGCCATTCTATAGTACATAGTTATGGTAGTCCGCATACAAATCCTCCATACCCTTCCCATGCTGAGATCTCTCTGTTTTCTGTTGTTGTGACGTCACTCGCAGATGCACAGTTCTAATCTCATTTCTGGCATCCTGGATGTGCCAAGATCTGCAAAATGCCTTGCTGGTATTACATCATCTTATGTCTCCAACAAGGTGCTCACTCTCACAATGTTCCCCTTTTCCTTCCTGAAACCTATTGAAATCTTGGATTGTTAGTTTGGTTAGCACATGTGGGAGAATTAGAGATGAAAGTAAAAGCGAGGTATGGGAAGAAAACACACAATATTGTGCCACCATCCGCAATGTGGGAGGGAGAAGCAGGCTAAAAGAAAAATCAAATATGCTTCAAAATGTCCATGTAAATTTTGTTTACGAAGCACTTTTAACACTACATTTATGGGAATGAGGTTCTTACTTTTTGAGGTGGTGGTAAGCTGGGTTTACTTCTACTGTAAGCAGTAGTAATCTAAACAGACCCCTGATATTTCCCTTTTTAAAATAAAAAAAAGAGATTGAGGATACAGTCCTCAATCTCTTTTTTTGCAACACCTGTTATAAATTAACAGGAAGCCTCTATACTGAGTTTTCCTGTTCATTCATAGCATGTGGATATAGTATGAGTTACTATGTCCACAATCATGAATGAATAGGAAGTGCTCTATAGCACTTCCTATTCATTCATAACTGGTACATAGTAACTCCATACTATGCCCAGTTATTTTATACTAGGTCCAGTTATTTACAAACAGTCAGCGATCACTGACCTCTGACTGCTTGTACATATCTCAATCCTGACTCGCTGAGCCGGCGGTTCAGGGAGGAGAGCTATTTTAACAGCTGACTCCTCCCCCTCATGGCCCCAGGCTTCTGTGACCGCGCACGGCTGTCAACGCCCCCCACATCGCTCTCCATCCTGATCAGTCACAGTAGGCTGAGGGGGGCGGTGCGGGATTTGAGCCCGGCGTCCTGTGACATCGCAGCTTACAGCGCTCTCCTCCCCTGCACCGCTTGGTTGCCTCTAACAGTTTCTCTCCTCCTGGCTGGATGCTGCGCTATGTCAGGGGGGAGGAGAGAAGCTAGAGATGGACTGCAATTTCGGCCGAAAGATGGCACTTTGAAAAATTTTGCCAGAAGTGCCATTTTCGGCCAATATGTTTTGGCGACTGAAATATTGGTACATACCTAGTTTAGAATAATTGTTGCATACACATGTATGCTCATATCTGTTCTGGTGCTTGCCTTAGGGCCCATTTACACCATGCACTTTGGGATGTGTTCCTCAATTCAGGGCCAATACAATAAAAAGCCAAAATCCATTGATTCCAAAAGACTCCATTCACACCAATGCATTGCGCTCTGGTTTATAGCACAGCACTGTCAGTCTTATACTGGGAGCGTGATGAGAGGAAGAGAGAAAGCAAACTGAAGTGTGTTTTGCAATTGGGAATGTAAGGAGACAGCATAAGGCTTCTACCTTGCATGTCTGAATGTTTAGTAGTAGTGTCTTGTATAGGTTGTAGTCTTAAGCATGATGTTTTCATTTTGGGCAGTTTAACTATGATTTGGTCTGATATTTCACTTAGAAGAATTGTCTGTAGCCTTATCTTCCTAATCATATTGAAGTTTAAAGTCAAGGTATTTTTTTCATCTATAGAAATCCTTACCCCAATAAACATGGCTTTCCTTTTAGGTTGGTGTTTCACAGACCGCTTTCTGGAAATATCGGGCAGTAAATCTCATTCCTGATCTGGGAACATCAGCTGTGGATTGTAGTGGTGACACTTCTATAAATGATTGTGTCACTTCTGGTGCCCTTGCAGCCCTGTGTGCTCTAGGGATGGAACCTTCTACTGACATTTCTGCCTCTTCTAAATTTTTCATTAAAGAATGATTGAAGTAGTGTTGTATACACTCTTAAATATAGGTCCTGCATTAAAATACTTTATTTCAGGTTAATTTTATTTTCTCACCTATTACATTGATGTCAAATTTGTGTTTGGTCATTGAAGAGGTAATATCCTAGTTCTATAACAATGGACCACCTTCAAAGTATTTTAAATTAGAGCTATCGGTACTGGTCACGGCAACCAAAATGATCCCTTTCCTTGGAGAATAAGACTGTTGCTAATTGGTTTCTGAAATTGAATGGATAGTACAAACACTGTCCTTGTCAGCCTTGAGGTTTTTTTTTGCCAAAGAAGTCGCGTAGTGAGACTGATTTTTCCCATTTGTGTTTTGTTGCACACCATGTCTATGCATTTTGGTGCAGCAACAGGGCTGTGCTTCCTCTTATCAGAGCTGCACTTGATGACAAGTGATCTAAAGTCTGGTGGGGTATTGATCAAGATTCAGCAGGCAAATTGGAGAAAGCAAAAAATGGGTCTCAAGTCCTTTCACTGCAGCTCATCGGGTACAGTTTCCTCTCCAACTGGCCTACAAAAGAACAGTGAGCATCACAATGGTGACATTACCAAATCTCAGTCCAAATCTTGCAGATCTAGCTGTCAGAGACAGCAGTGTCGTAGATGATCTCACACTACAGATAGGATGCTACAGACTAGTTGGGCAAATGCATAGCCACAGGTCAAGCAATCAAGAAAGTGGGTTTTTCTCTGGGTACTGCTTAGGGAAAATGAACCTTTAAATATATAAATAATAATAAATCTACACACTTTATGTATAGATCCACTTTAAGATTTCACTTGTATAATCTGTGTTTCTCTTCACTGTTCTAATTGCTTGTTGATGATGGTGTTGTACACATGATGGCAAACCATGTCATGATGCATATTTGCTACTTGCGTTTGCTATTATTGTTAGGAAGACTGTATTCTTGCCCAAGAAACTATGAATAACATCAGCTGCCAGCATTTTAATGCCCTTCATAACAATTTCTGCCTTTCTTCAACAAGATGGTTAATGTAAATTCTTACCTGTGTGTATGTATAATAAACACATGTTAAAATATACCTTCTTTGTTCGATGGCATTACTATAACGACATTGGGATAGTTCAAATGAGAGATTGTGCAGAAACCTGGGTTGTTCCACTTCTGTGATTTCAAATGTCCACTGCCGTAAAAGCCATTTTATTTCATTTTAGAGAACTTTTTTTTCCCTTTTTGGTGAAAACTGGCAGAATGCCTTCTTCAGATTGTGTAGAATATTGTTCTCTTTACACGTGATGTTATCAGTCCGCAGTCTGCAAATTAAATGATTATTTTATACTAAATAAGAGTTCTTTTCTTCTTTTGCAGGCCTTCCAGTCTCTTCCAAATACGCTCGATGATATAGACGCTGCACTAATTGAAGAACGGACCAGAGCCTCTTGCTTTATGGGCTTAAATGCTTCTGTATGTTGTCTAGTTTTTCTGATAGTACTTAACCCTCCCACGCTGTATTAAAGCTTAGTAATAATAAGCTAGGCAGCAGGAACAATATGTTTGAAATGCCAGCATTTGAATGCATTAGAATTTTAAGTAGAGTCTTTAAGAAAGAACAGAACATAATGTTCCCTTGCACCAAAAAAAAATACTGTGCTTAACCTGGCAACTGTTGTTTACGTTGCCATGTGTCATTTCATCTTGCATTCCGTTCTAAAACACAGACCATAAAACACTGTAAGCAATGTGTTGTGAAAAGTATCTTAATGTTTTCTTCTGTTTAGGAGTACTTGTCTGAATTATTTTTAATTCTTCATTTCGAAAGGTTGTGGATGACTACACAAGACGAACTGGAGAAATAGAAGCCAAGACTAGGGAGCTTAACCAAAAGAAAATAGAGCTGGAAGACTACAGGCAAAAAATTTCACAGGTAGAATCCTGTGATTTACACTGTGATCGTTTAGAGTAATGCTGCAATTGTTTGGTGGCTTATGGAAAGATTGAAATGCTTTAAAAAAAGATTTTATCATGTTTTACCAATATGACATTGTGTACCTTGAAAATCTTAACTATGAACAGAGAAAAGCTCAAACAATGTTTAAGTAGCAAAGGAAAGGTGCATAAAGGTAGAACAATGCAAATATTTCTGAGAACTTGATCTAGCTAGTCTGCACAAAATAAGTTAGATACATTGTTGCCAACATTTATATTGAAACAGATTTTTGTTGAATGCATGTGTTAATATATGTGAAGCCACTCTACCACACCAAGGCATCTCTGCATTCAGCCAGCTTCCCAGCCAATCAGGAAATTGGGCCGTGAGTCATTACCAGCGCCTCGGCTTCCTGATTGTCCGGGAAGCCGGCTCCATGTTCCCTCGCGGCACTGCCGGTCAGAGGAAATCTTCCTCTGACCTCGAAGTTCTGGAATCTGAGCATTTGGGCAAGTACAAGATACTAGTATCTGTGCATCCCCACTGAAAACATTAGTTTAATGTTATTAATTTGCAACGTTTGAAGAGAATTGGTTAATGTTTAAGCACAATATGGTACATGAAGCTCTTTTTACATTAAACTGTTCACATAAAATGTTTTAGGATTGTAAAAAAAAAAATGAAATGCAAGTTATTTTTGGAAACCATAAACCTATACCTTACCTATTTGTTAACCTACCCATGAAACTTCTAGGATAAGTTTTGGAAGTTAAAATTAGGTTGTACAAAGTTTCAAGGCAATTGGTTTGAGGTTAAGGCACTTTGTTTTACACATTAAGCTACAGTAAACCATTTTCACAGTAAATGTTTTAGGATGTCTCATGATGTAACTTATCCTGGCAGGCTTGTAGTGCTGGTTGCAGAAGGTTAGCTTGCTTTATTGAAAAACATAAACACTTTGGGGGTTTAGTTATAAACAAGGGCACTGCCCTCAGTATTTTTGCCTCTGCTTCTTAGTTCCATCTAGTGGCCATAATGAAGAATTACATGACAATACGTTTAAACTGGGAAAATAATATATTCAGAACGATCGTTTTTTGGTATTATTTGCCAAAAACAAATGTTCACAGGTATTGAAAAGGCAAAGGGCCCTGCAAATTGTTTATAAAGAGACCCCCTTGCTTTCATGTTTTTCTTCATGTGTAGTGGCACAGTGTATTATGTGTTCATGTATAGGTTCACCCAAAACTTTTATTAAAAAAAAAAAAAAAAAAAAGATGATCCTGTAGTTATCAGGACCTGGATATGCATGGTGTGTAGTGCCTGCTTTAAGTGGTGCCCAAGTGTATCTAAACCCAAAATCAATAGAACAGATAGTTGTTCTTGCCAGAAATGCATGTCCTTGTCACTTCCTATGGACTAAAGACAGCAAAAACTTTGATGTTTTTCTTTGTGTGGACCACAAGTCCTATCAATCTACCATGTAATGGAGGTAAACAAAGGCAGACATAGTTTAAGTCCAGCCTGTGTGTTGACGATCACAACATTTTCAACCTTCGTGGCGAAAGGCGAAGGATGAAAACATTTTCCCGAACTAACAATTCTAACAGTGAATGTGGTTTTAATTCGGGAAACTCCATTCATTCCAAAATTAGGTGTTTAAACTCAAACGACGTTTTTGAATGATATTTATAAAGTCTGTAAAAGTATTATCAAATGTTTTGAGGAGATTTTGATTACAAATATGTATACGGTAACTGTGTATGCACACCTTAAACCCCATTCAAATATATGATAAATGTTACCAGCACACTGTCTTGTGTCAATAATCCATCTTCTTTATTAATGCAGACTGTCACAAAACAACTTTTCGGGACCACGCAGGGTCCCCTTTTATCAGGTTTTAGTATGACCCCATTCACACTGAGCAATTTGTAGCGCGATTTCCGCTCAAAAAATAGCCCAAATATGAAGGGCTCTTCCAAAGCATTTCAATGGCGATGGTCACATCTTGCAACTCAATGTCGCTTGTAGCTGAAGCTTTTCGCTTGAATATGAGCTATTTTTCGTCGGATTTCGAGCGATTCGGCCCCAGTAGACTTTGATAGACTGCCAAAAGTAGCGCTACGTAGCGTGACAAAATGTGCAATGCCGCTCAAAGTCATTCATCTCAAATCGGCACTGAAAAAGCTTGTAGCTCAGTGTAAATGGGGTCTCAGGATTTGTTCCTGAATTAGTCCACTTTTGGACCAATGAGCTCCATTTGTGTTTGCAGCAGCAAGTATAAATTGTGTTTGCAGCAGCAAGTATAAATATGAATGAAAGCATTTGGAGCTTTCAGAAATCTCTTTTAGAACATTATTTCCACAAAGGTCTTTAGTCATTTGACCTACTGACATGTTTTTTTTTATTTCAGGTGAAACAAGACTGGCTCATACCTTTGAAGCACTTGGTGGAGAAAATCAATGAGCAGTTCAGCAGCTTCTTCAGTTCCATGCAGTGTGTAGGTGAAGTGGACCTTCACACTGAAAATGAGGTAAAGCTTTTGGCTCAAGAAAATACTTGGAGTTTATTTATAAAGAAATGAAAGTGACTTTTTACTAAAATGTCTCTGGTAGAGAATCAATTAGGGGTGCGGAAATTAACGATTAATCCGTCGATTAATCGTTAATTTCTTTGATCGATCAAAGTTCTTTTGATCCGTACTCACCTCTCCGCCGGCTTCCGGGTCTTCCGTCGAAGATCCGGTGACGTCACGTACATCGACGTCACCGGACTCCTCCCCCTCCCCGAGTGGCTCTGTCGGCTAACGAAGGGAAGGGGAGAGGAGTCGGGTGATGTAGTTGTCCGTGATGGGTAACGAAGGGAAGGAGGGAGGAGTCCGTTGACGTTGATGTTCGTGACGTCACCGGACTCCTCCCCCTTCCCTTCGTTACCTGACGGGATCCCTTGGGCGGTGAGTCTCCTGCTTCATTAGTGCATCGGATGTGTGGACAATGTGTACATACTACAAGGCAGCTCAAATAAAAATTAAATATGTGTAAAATCTACTACCCTGTTAGAAATCTACTATCTGCTACCCTGGTGAGTCCCCAGAGAGCCCTGGTGAGACCCTACGGAGCCCTGGTGCTGGTGAGACCCCACGGAGCACGGGTTTAACCAGGGCAGTGTAGGATCTCACCGGGGCTCTGAGGGGTCTAACCTGGCTGGCGAGACCCTACAGAGCCCTGGTGAGACCCTACGGAGCCCTGGTGCTGGTGAGACCCCACGGAGCACGGGTTTAACCAGGGCAGTGTAGGATCTCACCGGGGCTCTGAGGGGTCTAACCTGGCTGGCGAGACCCTACAGAGCCCTGGTGAGACCCTACGGAGCCCTGGTGCTGGTGAGACCCCACGGAGCACGGGTTTAACCAGGGCAGTGTAGGATCTCACCGGGGCTCTGAGGGGTCTAACCTGGCTGGCGAGACCCTACAGAGCCCTGGTGAGACCCTACAGAGCCCTGGTTAAAGCAGGGCTTTGTAGGGTCTCACCAGGGCTCGGTGGGGTTTAACCAGGACTAGTGAGACCCCACTGAACCCTACTTTAACCAGGGCTCTGTGGGGTCTCACCAGGCTGGTGAGTGAATGTGCAGCGCTAAGGGTCACCGGTGGGCAGAGGCAGCTCTAGAGTTTGCGAGATCTGTATGTGCGTTATAATTAATCGAAATTAGTCGATTAATCGATTTAAACTTTTTTTCGATTAATCGAACAGGAACATTTTTAATCATTACTAGGCCTAGAATTAATCAGTATCATTTACAACACATGGACCTAGGGAATGTTCGCTGAATGTCAGATTCACTGCTTTATAATCCTACACCTAAGTATTGTTTTTAACAATATGCTATAATAATAATAAGTAGATATGCAGTTTTACACAATATTTATATACACAGATAAGTAGTTTATGTTTATGATATCACTACAGAGAAAGTCAACGGCCCTGCTTGGTAGCTAAGATTAGATTATTTTTTGGTCGCTTTATTTCGCATCAGAACTTGCAAACACGCAAGCTGTTTTTTTGCTGAACTGCTTCAGGCTTTGTTGGTGGCGGATAGGTCAGACAGACACTCTTGCCCTTGACAGATGTGACTCCACCCCTCAACGTGTTTCACACAATGGGCTTAAATGTAGGAGGTGGGTGAGTCAAAGAGGGTAGGAGCCTATAAACTGCATCCTAACTGCCACAATGCAACACTATTACAGTTGCAATGCCACATTCGTAAAGCAGCAACACAAAATACCTTTCATAGCTAAATCCATAAGGGGCGATTTGTCTTGAATGTACATCACGGGACACAGTGAATTAATTATTGAACTGATGGGTTATGCAGCCACATTCAGGTGATTGGACACTGGCAAATCAATGCTGTTTTAATAGCCTTGTACAACCCCTTCTACTCCCAGCTTGCCACAGTTTTCTATTTAGTAGTGTCCTTCGGTAAGGATGCTTTCTCTCTGCTCTGAGAGAAGTACATCCTTTTTTTCCTGTACAAGAAAGATTGCAGCCACAACCAGAAGATTTGTTTGGGATACAACTGTGCCAATGCGCCAATACACTGCGCCAATACCAAAAAAAAAGCCTGATTACAATATGCCCGACAACACCCTAACATGCCACATGCTGACACACTGTAAGTTGGAGTAACAAGATCAAAATAGAGCTTTATGGTCACAGCCGTAACCGCTTTGTTTGGAGAGGGGTCAACAAGGCCTATAGCGATAATACCATCCCCACTTTGATGCATGGTGGAGGCTCACTGATGTTTTGGGGGTGTGAGAGCTCTAAAGGCATGGGAAATCCTGTGAAAAGTGATGGCAAGATAAATGCCGCATGTTATCAGGAAATACTGGCAGACGATTTGCATTCTTCTGCACATGGGGCGCCCTTGGACTTTCCAGCACGACAATGATCCTAAGCACAAGGCCAAGTTGACCCTCCAGTGGTTACAGCAGAATGAAGGGAAGGTTCTGGAGTAGCCATCACAGTCTCCTGACCTTAATATCATCAAGCCACTCTGGGGAGATCTCAAATATATATTAGACGTGCACCGAAATTACATTTTGAAACCGAAAATATAAAATGTCAGGCCCAAACCGAAACAGGTTGGGGCTTTTTTTTTTCTTCTTTCTTACCTTTTCAACTTTTTAAAAAATTATTTTATTTGTATTTTTTTATTTAATATTTTTATTTTTTTAACTTTACTGCTGGGGGCTTCGGTGAAATATCTAAAAAGACCCCTGATATTTCCCTTTTAAAATAGAAAGAGATTGTGAACACAGAATCCCCAATCTCTTTTTATGCATCCCTTTTTATAAATTAGCAGGAATCCTCTATACTGAGTGTTCCTGTTCATTCATAACATGAGGACATAGTGTGTTTACTATAACCACAATCTTGAATGTATAGGAAGTAATGTAGATCACTTCCTGTTCATTTATAACTGGTACATAGTAACTCATACTATGTCAAGTTATTTACAAACATTCACTGACTGCTTGTACCGCTCTCCATCCTGAATCGGCTCTCACAGGAGGTTGAGCTGGCGTTGCGGGAGGACAGCTCGGGTTATTTTAACAGCTGACTCCTCCACCTAACCGCTGGTTCAGCTTACTGTGACAGCTGTCTCCGTCCTCCACACCGCTCTCCATCCTGATTTGTCACAGAAGGCTGAGCAGGAGAGCTCAGCCTCATATGACAGCCTGCTCACAGCACTCTCCTCCCCCGCAATGCTCGGCCTCCTGAACATTTCTCTCCTCACCGCCTGACGCGGCACTGTCGGAACGGACACAGAGCAGCGCCCAACTGGGAGGAGAGAAAAGCCAGGCATGCACTGCAATTTCAGGTCGAAAGATGGCATTTTGCCAAAAGTGCCATTTTCGGCCCTATATGTTTTGGTGCATCCCTAAAATAGATATAGATACACTGTAATATATACACAGTGTATGTGTATATATAATGTGTGTGTGTATGTATATATTTATAAAATATATAATATTCTTGTACTACTTTCTTATGAGCAATACCCAGCTGTAGTTTAGGGATTAAAATATGGTTCAGGGCACATTTGCATTTTTGCGGTGTGGTGGTGCACATCCTGTTTTTGGGGTGCTTTTGTGTGTTGGCAACAATTGAAGAACTGTCACCAGCACACCAAAAATTATTTGAGGATAACCATGTGTTCATTTAATAAGAACCTTGTCAAGTAAAAACAAGCGCTTTCGGGGCCACGCAGGGTCCCTTCATCAGGCTTAACATTCGTCAATGGCATGCATGATTTGCGGTTAATGCTTTCCTAAGGCATTTCAGCTTTAGCAGCATTGCATTGTGGGAGTGAGGATGAGTATATAGGTTGCCGAAAAAAACATGTCTGTAGGACTTTTCTGGCACCAGTAAAACTTGTTACAGTTTAACAAACACATCAGAGTGCAGCGTAAGTGTTTTTATTCCAGGAGAAGGTGGATCCCAAAGGACCTTTGCACCTGCGCTTATCACTGTATACAGTATGCTTGCCTGGAGCGGTGTCATTTACACACCTTTACATCAACGTTTGGAAGCTTTTTATGTATGCATGGGGAAAAAAGCATGATTGAAGCAAGCGTGGGACTGATGTTTATGCTTTCACTGGGTTGGTCCATGTTCTATGGGATTGGTTTGTGTATTGCTATATGAGGCCCCAACTGAAGCTGTTGTGATCCTGTCCTCATTTGTACCTCTGTTGCCTATATCCACAAAGTCAATGAGAGTGGATTTTACTTCTCCTTGAGTACTAGTTTGTGGCTATGGCCAACCTGGTGGAGCAAATCTGATTCAAATGTTCATCTGGTAGTTTGTTCTCATATATATTATGTGTTGTTTGTTTGATCAGTTGCCATCTTACCATATCGGATATGTGGTACGCTTCTTCTTTTCCCATCAACATTGCTTTAAAGCGAACATCTTCTTTTTTTTCTTTTAAATGTGGCTTCACAATAGGAGGATTACGATAAGTATGGCATAAGGATTCGTGTGAAGTTTAGAAGCAGCACACAACTTCATGAACTGAATCCACATCACCAGAGTGGAGGAGAGAGAAGTGTGTCCACAATGCTCTACCTTATGGCTCTTCAGGAACTCAACAGGTGCCCTTTCCGAGTGGTGGATGAAATAAACCAGGTAATGCGTTAGTTACATTGTAAATGTCTAGTGTACAAACGTTGTTGTTTCTTTACTAATTTCTTTCTTTATATCTTTCAAGGGCATGGATCCAGTGAATGAAAGAAGAGTATTTGAAATGGTGGTAAAGACAGCCTGCAAAAACAATACTTCTCAATATTTTTTTATCACTCCAAAGGTAATCATAAGATACATGTGCACATGCCTGCAACCAGTTATATAGCTTATACCTAAATTGGACAAACATTTTGTATGGATGCTGTTTTTTTTTTTTTCTTTTTTAAATATTTATTGGGTTTTCAAGGTAATTACAAACAGCATATTGTACAGTGCTTGCCGGCTACAGGCGGCCACATAGGTAACGTAATACAATCAACAGTATGTCAATGCAAACACTACAAATCAACATTAATGCAGTAAAAGATAAAGAAAATAAAAAAAGGGGGGGGAAGAAGGGGAAGACAAGTAGGGGGAAAGGGTCCATCCGTCGGTCAACTTCAATTGTAATTCAGGTCTGCTCCACAGGCCTTTCGGTTCACACCCGAGGGTCACACATTCATTACCTCTTAACTCATTACCATTCATTACCTCTTAACTCTATAGACCACATCACAGGCGGTGGAGGGTGTCAATATCTAGATCAGGGTGATTATGTAGAATCCAGGGTTCCCAGATTTTAAGAAATTTGGCTTGTGAATCCTGTAGGACATACGACAATCGTTCATTTAAGAGAACTACATGCAGCCTATTGGTGAATTCCCGATACGGGATGAATAGTTTTTTCCAATTTCCCGCCAAAGTTAATTTGGCGGCAATGAATATTTGGTGGGCTAGGGCTCCCTGAGCTTTGTTCAGTCCGGGGACTGAGGCATGGAGTAAGGCCTGTGTTGGGTCTTTAGAGATATTTTTGGCAAAAAGAGTCGAAAGCAAACGAAAAATTCTGGTCCAGAACCGGGCAGCGAAGGGGCAGGACCACCAGGTATGTAACATGTCCCCTGGGGTTGAGCAGCCTCTGTAGCAGTTAGCGGAAGATGTTGAATATATTCTAGCTAGACGAGTTGGGACTAAGTACCACCGAAACAGTACTTTGTATGCCACCTCCAGTATTTGTCACATTACTGGAACACCGGGAAATATTCTTCCACACCTCTTTCCAGTCATCATCAGACCAATGTAGACCCAGTTCTGCTGACCATTTGTTGGAATAAGAGTGAAAACTAGTACGTGGTAGAGAGTTCAAGATGGAATATAGAACTGACACCTGTTTAGGTCCCCCTGGAGCATAAAGGCAGAGGCGCTCAAACCCAGTAAGCGGGGCAGTTAAACATCTACGTGTTCGCATAGAGGATACCCAGTGCTGCAGCTGAAGAAACCTATACATTTCTGAATCTGGGATCTGTTTGGTTGTTTTGAGATAGGACCAAGTCGGTAAGTCAGGGGTACGATACAAATCATACAGGCTAGTGAAACCATTATCAGTCCACCATCTGAACCTGGTCGGTTCAGTGTATGCTGGGACAAATAAAGGTTGCGAGAGTAAAGGGAGAAGGGGTAAGGAGGGGGATATCAGACCGGAGGAGTACTTCAGTGAGTCCCACACTTTCAAGGCGTGTTTCATCAGAGGGCTGAGAGAGCGGGGTCTATCAACTGTCGGTAGCCAGGGAAGTGCTTGTAGAGGAATTGGGGAGCAGTTGGGAATTTCCAACATGGTCCATAGTGGAATATTAGTAGTGCGGTGAATGGCAATTAATGGTAACAGTTGGGACGCTTGGTAGTAGAGAAGGATATTCGGAAGACCTATCCCCCCTTCCCGTTTATGCTTATATAGTGTGGACCTCGGGACCCTGGGGCGTAGCGGGTACCATATGAACGATAAGATGTTTCTCTGGACAGTTCGAAGGATAAAGGATGGGACCGCTATAGGTAGTACCCTAAAATAGTATAGTAGCTTAGGGAGTATGGACATCTTGACCGCAGCGACCCTACCAAACCAGGATAGTCTATGATGTACCCAGGTGTCCATTAAAGCCTTAAGCTGCCTAATCAGGGGTAAATAGTTAGTTACGTACAGTGTAGCGTATGAGGGAGATATATTAACCCCTAGATATCTCAAATACTTCTGTTCCCAAGAAAATGTGAAATTCTCACGGAGACTAACATAATCATGTTGTGGCAAAGAGATATTCATGGCTCCTGATTTTCCCCAGTTAACCACCAGGCCAGAGACATCCGAGAAGAGTTCCAAGGTACGCAGTAGGTTGGGAACAGAAGTATGGGGTTGGGTAATGGTCAATATGACATCGTCTGCAAACAAACTCGTTTTGTATTCTACCCCTGCTATCTCTACTCCCTTCACGCTTGGGTTCGTGCGGATCAGATAAGCCAGAGGCTCCATGGCCAGGGCGAAAAGGACCGGCGACAGGGGACAACCCTGGCGAGTACCCCTGCAAATCGGGAAGGCCCCAGAGACGTGTCTTAAGTATTTTACCTGTGCGGTGGGGTTATTGTATAAGGCCTGAAGCCAGGAAAGAAAAGGACCATCGAGACCCCACTTGAGCAGTATATATCGGAGGTAGTCCCAGGAGATGCCCGCTGGATGTCCAGAGACAGTAGGAACCCCGGGATGTTCCTAGTCCGGAGGACATGTACCAAGTGAATGATTTTCCTGACGTTGTCCCCTGCCTGCCGTGAGGGGATAAAGCCGACCTGGTCCTCATGAATCAGAACCGGTAGGAATTCATTGATACGTGCGGCCAGGATCTTCGCCAGAATATGTATGGATGCTGTTTTAAGAACAGTACATTTTCCACAGTTCTCTGTCAGAACAGAGTAGAATTCTGATGCCATATTTCAATGGAAAGGAGTTAAGAAAAAATATGGTAGCTGCCGTTGCTGATAGAGATGCAGGCTCTGGGATATCATCTTACATTTTATCCTTGCATTACTACTTAGTAGGCTAAAATGCAGCTTGGAAAGTGTCTGGACACTGATCTAAACATGCTTGTTTTAGGGCAGTGACTTACTAAATAGCAGTGACAACTCTGAGTTCTAGCCTGACCGGTTCATTTTAATATTAGGTTTTTCAGTCTCGGGTCATAATGTTTTGTGTCGAGGGTAAAATAAAAGACACTAATCGACTTTAAGGGATATCCTTCTATTGGTGAAATAAGGTTGTCTTGATCTTACAGTACCGGACACAAGCAAATTCACAGAGAACTGGTATAATGCAGGTATCATTAGGTGATTGGACACTGGCCAGCGCTGTGAGGACCCTCCTCCCATTCCCAAGAATCCTTAGTTTTTTGCTGAGGCATGCTGGTAGTAGCAGTGATTTATACCCTGGGCTGGCCTATAGTTTTTTTTTGCCAGTGTCCAATCATTCCGTAGCCAGAACTATAACCTGAAAGTTTAAGACTTCCTGTGTTCTGGATTAGAGAGAAACACTTTTAGCTTAATGCACATTTTTAATAATGAATTCTATTGCAAATATTTTAACTATAATGTTTTCTCCTATTTATCCTTATTACAAGATCACCAAGTATGTTTAGGTATTGATGCGTACTACCAGTATGTAGTCAGGATATACGTGTATACATTTCTGGATTTAATTTTACCATGCTGGCAGTTAGTGTTCCCTTTTGTACAGTAACAATATGCCACTGGGGGCTCCCCGCACAAAAAAGATGGGTAAGTCAGGGATTTTCTGCAATTCAGTAAGGTATTTTGTGCAATGCAATTTTCTGGCACTGCTTCTGTTTATTCAGATTTTTTTCAGATGACAATTGCACAGTCAGGAAATTTATGAGAGGTTCTTGTTCCAGTGCTCTACCTGTAAAATATGGAGGTTAGCCTCACACTTTACAACACATGACAAATATTTAACTGCATGTTGAAAATATTTGGTTTGAGAATATTTAATAAAAATGGCATGTATCTTCACAATATTTTTTTTATTTTTTTTCTCACACAGCTTCTCCAGAATCTTACTTATGCTGACAACATGAATGTGTTATTTGTCTACAATGGACCATACATGGTTGAACCCACAAAATGGGACCTAAAAGCTTTCCACCGAAGACGTCGAAGAGTAGCTGCAGCAACTCAGTGACCTTGGATTTTCATCTTCATTGCTGATGCCCTCATTTCAGATGGCAAAACCATTGTTTTTTTTTCTTACTGCAGGGTAGAACAGTGTATTTGCTATATGTGTTAGGTCAGTTTTAGGTGAAAAGGTCACCTAAATGACAAAATGATACATGTATCTTGGAGTGCTTAGCTCTCCAGCCTAAATTTGAAAGTTATTCAGCCAATCTTTCCAGGGATGCACCGATACTAGTATCAATGTCGATACTGAGTATTTGGGTGAGTACTCGTACTCGCCCAAATGCTCCTGATGACTATCCCAATACCGGAACTTCCGGCATCAGGAAGCCAGGGGGCAAGTGATTACCCGCCCCCCGGCTTCCTGATTGGCTGGGAAGCTAGCTCCATGCTCCCTGGTCACCAGGTGAACTAATGACTTGCCGTCTGGCTTCCTGATCAGCTGGGAAGCTGGCCAATCAGGAACCTGGGCAGCGACCCATTACACCACGCCCGGCTTCACCTGGTAATGAGGTAGCATGGAGCCAGCTTCCCAGCCAATCAGGAACCCGGGCACTGTGTAATGACTCGCTGCCCAGGTTCCTGATTGGCCAGAAAGCTGGCTATGTGCTTCCTCGCCACTTGGTGACGAGGGAGCATGGAGACCGCTTCACAGCTAATTAGGAAGCTGGGCGGTGAGTCATTACACGTTGCCTGGCTTCCTTAACGGAACTTTCGGTATCGGCGAGTACCGAAAAAAAAATATCAGTACTCGATACTGAAAAACCAGTATCAGTGCATTCCTAAATTTTTCTTAACATGTTGCAGTCAGGGCCTTAATTGGGATGCCTTCCATCCTTCCAGTGCCTTAAATTGGATGCCTTCCAGCCATAGAAATTTTGATTGCTTAGGATACTAGAAATCTCCCCTAATTAGAAGGAAATCCCAAATTGACAGTAACTGGAATATCTCCCCTACTTCTGTTCTGGTGATGATGAAAAAAAAATTACATTTGGTCCAGATGACAATAGCCCCCTATTACTAATATTGAGGATTGATCTCAACTTGGAAAAAAAAAACTTAAAATACAATTTTGGCTGGACTTTAAGGTTCATTCTTTAACGTTTAGGTATATTTACCTTATCCTGATTCAAGATTAGTTTCTAGTTGAATAGTTACTTTCATAGGTTTAAGAAAAATGTACTTATTTGTTACATTTCACAAAATGATATGCTCATATTAGGAAACACATTTTTCAAAAGCCTGTTGATAGCTTAAAGAAAAATGCACTTGAGTAGACGGACTTTAATAGCATGCAAACATCAATGCGTTGCCATTTTCATTGCACTTTTTGTTGTTGTTGTTTTACATGTCTCTTTATCCTGAAAAGTTATTTCTAAAGATTCTTTAACTTACCTTTGCAATTAAAAATTTATTGTTACATGTTCATTAATAGTTTTGAAATTCTTTATATTTACCTGATTACAAATGTAAAGGTCACAGCGGATACAAAGAAGGGAATTAATAACTGGTCTTATGGCAAAATGAGCAGACCAGCCTATCCATTTTAGTGAAATTCATGGTGAGTTGTATTCTTTTAGTTCCAGTTCTCATGAAGACTCTTGTATATTAAAATAATGCCCAAAATGTGTGCATTGTTCAATTTCAAGAGTACATTCACTGAACTAGAGCAAGTGTATTATTCGGAGTTGAACAATAGAGCCTGCTCATTGTACAGGGGTGTGGACATTTTTGAACAAACTACTTGTCCAAGGACTAAAGCGAGGGCTGAATATACTTGCCCTTCATGACAATCCTACTTGTTCTGATCAAAAAAAAATAATTTTAACCAAAACTAGGGATGCACCGATACTAGTATCGATATCGGTGCCGATTCCGAGTATTTGGGCAAGTACTTGTACTCGCCCAAATGCTCCGATGCCTAGCACGAGAGTACTTCCGGTATCAGGAAGCCGGGCAGCGCGTCATTACATGCTGCCCGGTTTCGCGATTGACCGGAAGCTGGCTTCGTGAGGTAAGGTTACCTTACCTTAGTATGTGTAGACTGTCATCCCCGGGGCCTCTCGCCCTTCGCCCGGTACCCAGCCCGAGCCGTCCAATCAGGAAGCCTGGCGCCGTCTAATGACGCAACGCCCTGCTTTCTGATTGGCTGGGAAGCTGGCCTCATGCTCCCTCATCATCTCATGACAAGAGAGCATGGAGCCGGCCAATCAGAAAGCAGGGCGTTGCGTCATTACACGGCGCCCGGCTTCCTGATTGGCCGTCTAGACGGCTCTGGCTGTGTACCGGACGAAGGCCGCGTTCTCGCTGGAGAGGCCTCGGGGGATGACAGTCTACACATACTAAGGTAATGCTGCGTGGCATTAGCGGGAAAAAAGGTAGATGTACCTATTTTCACGACATGCACCGCGCAGTGTTAGAAAATAATGGCACTGACAGCACGATCAGCGGTGGTGTGCGATTCCGTGACCACCCAGCCATCCGCTCGGTTTCGTGCACGATGACCAGGCAGTTACGGATCGCGCTGGCAGTGCCAGTATTTTCTAATGGCACCCCAGTCGTGCCAGGCAGATTGCACGTTTTCCTGCTGCAATACGGCCCTGCCTGTGCGGTTGCACACGATCGCAGTTCAAAACTGCATTTATTCGCATGCAGTGGGGCTGGTTTTCATTTTTTCAATTTGTATTTACTTTGTAAAAAAATTTCATTTGTTTTATTATTTTTACTATAACGCCTTTTTTTTATTTTTTACATTTTTATTTAGTTACATTTTTAATTATTTTTACTTTTTATTTAACTTTTTTTTTTTTAAACTTAACTGTATTGCTATCACACAGGGGATAATAATCCCCTGTGTGATAGCTTTTGGAGGTGACAGGTTCTCTTTATTGACGCTCTCACCTCCAACACAGGAGTTCTAGCACAGCACTGTGCTAGAACTCCTGTGACAGGAACGAGCAACGGCCGCCAGCGACAGAGGCTGAGGGAGGTGACAGAGCCTGTTACTGGTCCATCACTACTCCACGCCCCCCGCTCTGTCCACACTCTCAGCGTTTCACGCTCCGTCCACGCCACCCGCCCGCAGCGCCGCTCTCGGCGCTCATTTAAGGAAAGAAAACCAGCCCTGCTACTTGTCGGTAGCAGGGCTAAAACAGTGAAAAAACCACTTGCTCGGTGCACGGAACTACATGTCCCGGGCGTCGGGCGATATGAATTCCACACCCCTGTTGTAATAGAACAAACATGGTATAACTAGTGTTGATTTTTAAGGTCAAGTCAACATTTTTAAAGAACGCTTTAAGACCTTTGGACATATCTATATACGCTTTGTTGTTTGGCTGTTTAGAGAGCACATGCACACACCCATGATTTTAAATTTGGGCTACTTTACAGCCTGAATTACGATGAGTGCATTGATGCCTGTCATTTAACAGTGATTAATATCAATCTTGTAGAGCATGGTGAAAGTTTTTTGTATTGTGGTCACTACAACTAAAGACAAATAATCCCTTTAATAGCTACACCATTTAAAAAACAGTCCTTAAGATGGCCATATAGCATTCGAATTGTGGCTGCGTCCTGCTAAATTGGCCAAAATGCGATCCGTGGGTGTCCCTGCTGACAGCACCAGGCTTGACAAAAGTTGATTGGATCAATAAATCAGCCAATCAGCTGCAGACACTATTCGCTAATACTAATGGCCGCAGACATTGGCTGTCAGAAAACAAAAGCCTGCTTGAGAGATTCCTCCATCCACCATTTAGCTTGGATGGGGGGCTGAACTAGAAAAATCTTACGGTGCAGGACCAGCTTAAGATTGTTACTTTGGGAACAAAGCTCCAGGTAACAGCAGGTCATATTCTCAAGCAAGCTGTGAGACAAAATGAAACAAACTTTGGCAAATATCTTAGAAGTGCCACACTTTTGCCCGTCACACTGCAGAATTCAGTTCTAACTGCAGTGTATAAGTCTGCTGCAGGTATATACAGGCATCTCTAAATTTTTGTTCTCAGTAAAAAAATTTCCTTGGAGTCCATTGAGGGACACGGGAATTCTTAAAGTTATTAGACATTTGGGTTGCACTGCCGCCTACAGGAGAAATGGACACTAGCAAGCCGTTGGCCAGCACAGGATATACCCATCCACAACCATCATGCCTCAATTTTGTAGCAAGTAGTACCAAGAGTATAAAATAAACACAGATTGGTGTCCTTCAAGGGACTCAAAAAAATGATGATATGGTGAGTACAAAAATTCTATTCTCTTTATTGTCCAGTGAGGGAGACGGAAAATCTTAAAATTCTTAGACTCAGTATGTGCAAAAGCAGTCCAACAGAGGGCTGGGCAACATAGCAATAAAGGCTAACAGGTCCAAGAAAGGACAACAAAAACCTTGGAACGGCCTGCAACTCAAAAAGCTACATGAAGAACCTAACACCCAAAGCTGGCATTAGCTGAGGCCTGGATATTCGCCTGCAAAACTTAAAAGAACAAAAAAAAGACTAGGCGGTAGCCTTGCAAACTTGGCAAAGGTGCATGATGGAGAAAAGAGCAAGAAGTACTCGCAGATCTATTAGAGGGCACCTTGACAGGAAAGGGGGTAGTCCAATATATAAAAGGGAACTATGGCCAATCCAAAAAACAAGGGGAACACATAGGAGCTTTACGCTGAGTAAAATTGTATAGTAGTGACCAAATCCTAGGGTTTCAATAAACTTAATTCAAAAAAATACAATCCCCTTTAAACAAGAAATCCCTAAAAGTGGAGATGGTCTGATAAATGGATCACAATGCGTAATATAATATAATATAACAAAGTTTAATGATACTAATATATATAAAGACACCTATAACAAGACATTTAAAACCAATTAAAAAGCTTCCCTAGAATCACCTGAATGTAAAGATACGGGTATTGAACATTTGAATCTCCTATGGGGTAGGAAGTCTCTGATGTGAGTTAAAAAAAAGAGAGATATATCACCCAGAAAGAAAAACGGAGCTGTACTCACATTGTACGCAGCCGGCAAAAAGT